ACCAACGCTGGAGGCTGCGAAGATGAGATCCGAAGACGTTGCGCCGTGACAAGATCCTCAGTTGAGAGGCTAACAAAGATTTGGAGAGACCGCAGAATAACCAAAAATACAAAAGTTCGGTTAATGAGATGCCTGGTCTTTCCAATCTTTCTGTATGGGGCTGAGACGTGGACGCTGAGGATGCAAGGCCGTCGTAAGATCGACGCACTAGAAATGTGGTATTGGAGACGTCTCCTCAGAATTCCGTGGACCGCGCACCGTACCAACATTTCGATCCTGAAAGAGCTCAACATCAAGGAGAGACTATCGTCAACAGTCCAATTACGAATCCTCAAGTTCTTCGGGCACATCACTCGTAATGAGGACTCCATTGAGCGGTTGGTGGTGCAAGGGAAAGTCGAGGGCAAAAGATCTCACGGACGATCTCCAACACGATGGACCGACCTCATAAAATCTGTTACTCACTCCAACATAAATGTTTGCTCTCACTCTGCGAAACATCGTGCCATATGGCGTCGCATCGCGAGAGCATCGGTATCGCAGGATCCGACTGATGCATGACCACGACCACTCTGTCAAGAGTGTACGAATAGGAAGAAGAATCAAATGAAGAATTAAGTAAATAGACTATGTATATATTTTGTGCTTGAGATTGGAAGTTAAAGGTGAAAGAAAGTAGAGTGATCTCTTCTAATTTAGTGCCCCGATCCCATATAAGGATGAATATGTTGGTTAAGTACTAGTGATCACCTAATGATCAACTGATAAGAATCACTATTTTTTTTGTATTTTTTCATCCAATTTTATAGCCTGTTTTCTTGAAGTTTTGAAAGAAAAACCTAATATTTGCAAAATTTTTATCGACAACATTTCAGTTCTGTTCATTGATTTTTGATGAACAAAATCTACTGAACAATAAAAATTGGGTGACAAGCACACAAAAAAATATTGTAACAGTTTTCTGTCGATTTATTTTTTATTAAAGTCCATTTATGAATATCTATCGTAATGACACTATGACACGCATATTGTTAAGATTTTAATTGCAGTGAAACCATGTTGCATTAGAATCAGTGAATACGGGCCATCTTAACCTGGAAATATTTTTATTAGGTATTTACATTTTATTTGATGAAAACATGGTGCAACGCTAACATTTTATTCACACTCCGGACAAAATTAACTAAACTTAAACTTTTATAGACTTTTATTTATATTAACAAATTTTAATATATCTTCGGATATATAACCTGTCGACTCGATAAAAGCCTCCAAATAGCTGATGCTAACGGGAAAAACGTGGATATCATACCTATAGATTTTATGAGATCATCAGCAGAGATAGTTTCAGACATAGACCTAAATATTTCGTTAGATTGTGTATTATGACATCATCCTTTAAAAATTATTCAATCAATTAAAAGAAAAATATTGAGAACTGAAAATTTTCGGCCATCATAAATTATGCAATTTAGCACCACCCTCTTTAATTTGCTAGTACTACAACTGCATCTAATAGTCTTGTGCTCGTAGTTTAGTATAATCATACTAGATGGCGCTTTCCCTTATCTTGTACCCGTAGTTTAGTACAATTGCACTAGATGGCGCTTTGTCATTTTTGAGACTCAAATCGGCTGGCAATGAAGATTTTAGAATTTCCACTGGACTGCGAACATGCGATTTTTATTTTTGCAGATTTGGAACAGTTTTAGAGATTTTCAATTTTACTGATGGTACAGCATACTGTACAAGCACCAACTTATGTGATAGTCTGTCTATTTAAACAACGAAGTGAACACACGTTCCAATATCTGTAATGGTGGCTTTAGAAGTCATTTAACACCAAGCGCTGCAGCTAATACAAAAGCCACTTAACATCGCATAGACTTATTAGAGGTACGTCATACCTACCAATATGATCTTTGATTTTCGTCAAATCGGCTTTTTGCTTTATCGAAGAGCGTCCTATTGTATTAACCATAGTACGTACTCCACCCGATCCATGAACGGTGCTTTTAGGTACCACAAGCACCGGTCACCGTCCTCGTCGAACCCGTCGCTTGCGACGAAGGGCTCGACGAATGAATTAACCCATAGACACAGCCCACTGAGTTTCTCGCCGGATCTTCTCAGTGGGTCGCGTTTCCGATCTGGTGGTAAATTCTGCGAAGCACTGCTCTTACTAGGGTCAGTGTCAGCAACACTCCGGTTTGAGCCCCGTGAGCTCACCTACACACGTTAGGGTGAAGCTGAAATAGCTCTCAAGGCTATCAGCATAGTTAGGATTAAAAAAACGTACTCCATTTCAGAGTTAAACTCTATCTTTCTTCTATCTTTCCACCCTAGCCCACACACGCCCACTGCTGGACATAGACCTCGCCCAAGATTCGCCACAACGACCGGACCTGCGCCGCCTGCATCCAGTTGGTTCCCGCGACCCTCAACAAGCCTAACGACAACTCCGACTAAAATATATCTATTAATATCATACCTCTACTAGTGGTAGAACCTCTTGTGAGTCCACACGGTTAGGTACCACCGGCCTGCCTATTTCTGCCGTGAAGCAGTAATGCGTTTCGGTTTGAAGGGTGGGGCAGCCGTTTTAACTATACTGAGACCTTAGAACTTATATCTCAAGGTGGGTGGCGCATTTTCATTGTAGATGTCTATGGGCTCCAGTAACCACTTACCACCAGGTGGGCTGTGAGCTCGTCCAACCATCTAAGTAATAAAAAAGTCTGAAAGGATATAACAGGAAACATATAAACACGAGATTAAACTGTAGAGGTTGTTATAATTATGTGTTTGGCGTTCGTTAGAGGTTAACAATTAAAACAAAAATTATTTATAAAAATCACAGTCGTGTATTTATCGATAAATACTGGTAATCAGAATAGCCATAGGGGATTTAACCGAATAGAAACAATACGTAGCGCAATTAAAATTATCCATAAAACATTATTCTAAAATTATTTTACACTATATTTTAAATAATTGATTTTCATAAGCTAAAGACGTCTAAAATAACTCTAAGATTGTCGTGTACATTTTTATAAATACGATCGATGAAAAATACTAATGTTTTAAACGTGAAAGGAACTTATCAATAAGTCATGGGCCCGATTTTTTTTTTCCTTAACAAAAAATCTTAAAGTATCGATAACTAGAAAATCGTTTCATAATTGCCAATTAATTTTATACAGTGACCGATAATTGTATTACATAATCCAAAGCCGGCTTTTGTTTTAGAAATTTGATATATTTTAGTTATTGATCGAAGTATTTTAGTAACTAAATTCTGTAACGTAATAGTATTAAATGTAAGGTATATTATAGTCCTAGTGAATTGCACGCTTCATATTACACAATCAGGAAATAATTGTATTACAAAAACGATACTTGGATTTTGGCAATAAGCTAACGAATTAACACCAATGTCATTTATTACACATTAAAATTAGCCAGCAATGAATACTGCACACTTAACGTGTCGTCCAAATTCACATCCCAAAGTAAATGCTACCACTAACCTCGAGACATAAGGTTGAATATGATTAGGTACTACAATACAATTGAGATTTTTTTTTATTGCTTATATGGGTGGACGAGCTCACAGCCCACCTGGTGTTTAGTGGTTACTGGAGCCCATAGACATCTACAACGTAAATGTCCCACCCTTCAAACCGAAACACATTACTGCTTCACGGCTAAAATAGGCAGAGTGGTGGTACCTACCTGTGCGGACTCACAAGAGGACCTACCACCAGTTTTTTTTTTTATCACACGTTCAAAGGTTTGTGGGGACAATTACGATATGATTTCTATTGACTCATTAAACACTTGCCGTGGGCTCGTCTCCTGGTGGACAGCTAAGGAGTTGCAAAGGACTGCTAACCCATAACTTAGGTCTTGTTAATCTTAACTGGCAATTATGAAACCATTTATTACAAATCTGCCACCTATGAAGCTAATTGTTTAAAAACCGTATCAATATTCTACGTGTCTATTTAGAGCTTAGGGTGTTAACAATAAGGCTTATATCCATCAGAGCCAGAGGAGTTTGAACGAGCCGAGTGAAGCTTTCGTTTGAAATATGAACTTATTTTTCATTTTAACATTTTGCGTTTTTGTTTTCGACTTCAGAAAGGTTTGTCTTAGCTTTTAAGCGAACAAAGGCTTGTAGAGTGAAAGAAATACGTTTTGTAGAATGAAGGGATTGCTGGTAGCCAGGAGGCCAGCGTCTTCAAGGCGAGAGTCCAATACTTTAACACCCTGCTTGCGGGATAATTTTTGAGGGACTTTCAGGTATTTTTGAGGCAAGATTGGACTTCTTTATAGTGCGCTTGATACATTATAGGCCTCACAAAAGTCCGTTTATGAATACACACATAGCATAGTGTGGCATAGGAGGTGATAGTCACTCGTGGGGCTTTTTAAGCCGCATCACGTAGTAAACGTGTTAACGATTGTCTCAAGCAACATTTAGTATGTAGATGCTTCAAATCGACGCTTGAAAGGCAAACGTGACTACGCGACAATAGCTGCTTTGTACATAAATGATAGGCAATAACCATATTCGATGCGCAAAAAAATATTTCTAGGTCTATTAAAATCATTTCAATCCTACAGCTAGATTCGTTAAAATAGATTTTTTTTCAGGTATTTCAACTTTAAATTAGTCTACTGTAAAGTTCACACATTGTCGCTTAGTCACGTTTGCCTTTCAAGCGTCGAAATGCTTTACAGTTTTTGCGGCTGCGGCGACTCAATTAATAATTACATTTAATGAACGCGATATTGATCCGCAATACTAGTTTTATTTACTAAGTCTACGTACGACCGCGAAGTAGGAACCGAAGAATGAATATCGAGGGTTGCAAGACTGTTTGTTTGGTTTAGGTGACATTTATCTTTGTAATAAAATGCCCGTTTTATTTGGCATTAGCATTAACAATTCGATGTTTTTAATTGTACTTCAATTAAGTTTACCCCATTCAAACGTTATGATATATTTTTCCCAATTTTAAACTTTAATTACGTGTCCTGTAAAGTTGCAAAAATGTCGCTTAAGCCATATATCCTTTAATCCTTCGATATAATACTAGTTTACTAAAATGTTCCAACTGTTAACTGATGTCTGGTCTCCACCAGTACCACTGGTCACCGTTTTTTAAAATGAATAACTCAATGTTCCTTCTTGAATAGTAAAACTGTAATTTTCAACCCGTTCCGACTCCCAAGGCTTACATTATAATGTAACTATCAGTAATCTCACGCCACACTCAATATGCAAACGTATATACGGATTTGAACCACGACCACACAAATTTAAGTTCACGACCGCACCTGATATTAATTTCAAAACTCATAATACCAACTTGATTTTCTTAAGAAACTCGAAACATTCAATATTCTGATAACTCAACAAGCAATTGTCTTTTTTTCTCTTACTATTATTTGGATGCCATGACAAAGACGGAACGATTGAATGTTTCAAAATCACAGAAAAACATTTGAGTAGATTTACTTGTTAGTTATAAAATGTGTGATAAGTACATTGACATTCTGTACTGTAATACAAGTGCAAAGAAATAACTTGTATAATAATGCAAATTGGGTATTCTAATTAAACTTATTAATTTAATTAATGAAGCATGGTCATTAGATAATACATATAATAAACTGGAATAAACGAAGTTATCTTTGTAGACATTAGAGGCAAATTAATAGATCTAATTGTATTTCACACATGGTTTATATGAATCAATCGTTTTCTTAACCGATTAGAACAATTTTTTTAATTAACGGATTTCAACAGAATTTTTACAAATATTGAAATCATTGGTTTTCTTCGGTTTAATGCCTGAATGTAGAACTTTAATTTGGTTGGTTAATGTATCGACGGCGTGTTATTCTGTTAAAAAAACTCACGCTGATGAATGAGGATCACGCACTGTAGTCTTGACACACGAGCTATGTCATTATTGCACGCTTTTAATGCGTTCAACAGTGATTACTTCATATTTAAGACCTCAATTTCATGAAATTCTATTTGGTGATTTCATAAAAATTTGCCAGTTGCCTGTACTTATCATGGCAGCGTTGCATCGAAATAGTTTGATCTTACCACTCGAAAGTAAACAACAGCTTTTTCAATTCATTAGTTGTTACACAAGTAAAAACTAGGATTACCAGGAAAACCTGTAATTTTTTTTTAAATGAATTAATCACGCGCGGTTATGTTACACAACTAAAAACTAGAATTAACAGGCAAACCTGTCATTATTTTGAATTTTTTTAATTGAGTTAATCACGCGCGGTGATCGCTTGAGCGTTTGAATATACAGAATTATCAGAATAACACTATTGCGCCGTCTAAACATCAAGCTTATTAAATGATAGATCGTGTCATTATTATCATAATTAAATAGGCAAATTAATTCACCTGACTATATTACTCGTAGTGCGAATTAATTGTTAATTTAATTAATTACACACCAAAATGTAAATGCCACGATTATTATCATTATTGCCTTACGTTTTCGGACGAAAATGGGCTTAAAGCCACCATTGTTGATGTCATCACATTGTAAACATAATTAATTATTGTTATGTTGATTCCTTTTATGATAAAACATAAACAAAATTATTCGATAATAACTGGTTGTCATTCATAAATGTGTCGATACTAACTAAAATATACTCTGAAGGTATCTCCCGTGACATGTAATGGGCGTACAACTGCCGCACACGTGCTGTCTAGCTATCTAGTTTATCTCGCGATTTATCGTGACCTTTCCTAACAAAAACACTATCGGAAAGCTAGCGTTTGAGCGTAAATGACCTTTCAACGGGACCGGATATCCCGATTCCAAACGAGATCTGGTAATCTCGATTGAAACAAAAAACTTCAACCGATTCATTATTGCATCATCTTCAACTTAAACCTTAGAACTAAATATGAGATTACTCTTATGAAGACGAATAGAGCGCTTAAAGCTCCAACGTCGATCCAAAAGTTCGATTTATCCATCGTCATTTCCTTCAAGAAGAGATCTGGGTTCCGGAAATGGCAGTATGCTTCCGAACAATACAGCTTCTCCCTTCCGAACCCGTATACCGACAGCATGGCTCCTTCGAAGCCATATCTAACATAGCTTAAGTACGTCAGCCATCGAAGGTAGTTTGGTATTGCGTTGAAGTTTACGAAGAAACCGGAGAATAAGACGACCGGTATTGTCGTGACCGGTCCCAGGTACACCCCAGTCTCTATCTTCATGGCGGCACCGATGAGAAGTCCTAGAGACTGGGAGACTAGCGCCGTGAGTATGTTGATGGTCGTGAACATCAGCACTCGATCGGTCTGCATCGGCTGGCCCGTCATGAAGTACACTATGATCACGTAGACGCCGCTGAATATTATCTGGAAATGGACATGGAAAAAATATTTTAAAGAAGTCAACGTGAACAATAACAGAGTGAGAAGTCTGACCATTCAGTTTGTTCCACATCGGCGTTCAAACTCTTGACTTACTCAGTTTGAAATGGTTAGTGGAGACATATCGCAATTTGAATGCCACTTTCCACTTTCAATCGCAGTCTTAGTAACGACTGCCACGTTTTTTTATTTTTTATAGTTGGATGGTACCTTAGTATAGCAGCACCCCTTACGGGCTATATGACGCCGCCAAGGGTTTCACGGAAGAATTTAAAGTAAATGATGGTAGTATATAGACATGATGGTAGTTCGGCTCTTGTAGGTCTCTAGTTAGAAAATGCTGGCCTTTGACTCTTTAATACAAATTTATGAATTTTGTTTTTACTATCGGATTAAAAGAATAGTAGAAAATATTGTGGAATAACCTAGTTAATCTACAAATAAAATTACCTGAAATGGTAGATCTGCCATTGTTTTTGCGAAATAGAAAGCCTTCAACGAATACCAGTAATTTAAATGCTCTCTCACGAATACGCTCATCTCTGTCGGGACTGAAAATATAAAAACATATTATGCTAATATTGTAAAACGAAGCCATCCAAACGGGCGGTTGGGTATACAGAGCCTTAGTGTCGTAATTTTCAAAACCCATTAAAGGTTTCCCAAAAAAAACTTTACCACAATCTTGTCCAAATTCACCAGTTACCATTATCATCATGAAGATGTTGTATTCATCGTTGCTTTGCGTTTGAGACTTCGACTTAATGTCTGATGTTGGTAATGAACTGGGTTTCTCGCTGTGTTATGTATAGGCCGCCCTCTTTATCATATCAGAGTATGTGGTCACCAATTATTCATATTAGAATCTATTGTAATTAAAATAAGGAACTCACATGTGAGTATGGTAGGCATCATGGCAGTAAACATGGTGAACATGACGGTAAAAAAAATGCATCCAGCATTGCTCATCACTTTGGCGGCATCGTTCCCTATATCGTAATAGAGGAAGCCAATCAACAATCCCACGATCGTATGCGAACATAGTCTTAAATGCGTCAATGTCTGGTCTCTAAGAATACTTCGGAAGGTTCGCTTCAATAAGATCCAAAATTGCTTCCACCCTGACGTCGGGAAACCGGTTTTAACTGGCTTCTTTGTGAAACTCTCGCTGGAGTCTAATAGCGATGTGGTGCAGGTTACAGGAGCGAGGTTCGTAGAGTTTGGAATGTTCTGCTTTTCGGTATTGAGAACCGGTTCTGACATGTCTATCACAGTACACGTTGGTTTGTCTGTAAATAATTGTTTGTAAGATAAATAAATTACGTACGCCGCGACTAGTGCTACTGGAGATGACTGGAATGGACACACGCAAATCTAAAAACTCTTTTTAAACTTTTTTACATTGCGCTCTAGACTAATACCAACAATGATGGTGTGATAAAGATAGTGATGATAAAAAGATGATGATAGAATCTTAAGAGCATTAAACTGGAATTTCAAGTAGGTAAACAAACACTGATAAACCTGAGAGTTGAGATATCTTCGATAATAAGTTGTCAATATTGACCTATCCTAGGAATATCCCTCTTAAACTAACACGAGTAATTGACTTATTAGCAGTAAAAATAGTACTAGGGATAGACCACTCATTCTTCAGTAATCGAGGCGTAAATTCCACAAAACCCCAAAATAACAAACATCGTCTGGCCTTCACCTAGTAGAAGCATATTTATGTAAATACTCACCAACAACTATAGAAAGAGCTTCTTTCTGAGTATTATTCTTATTCGGCTGATTATTGTAATTTACATTCTGAGGCACGGACGATGATGATGATGATGTGGAAGAAGACTGTCCCCGTCCGCAGTTTCCTTTATTCACGGCTCTTACTAGCTTGTGAACCCACTCACCGTGTTCACCGCTTGCTACCTCCATTACTGCAAAAAATAAAATTAATACGCTTAGCGTCGACTAACATACAGCTCTACAACAAGTATACATATAAAAACTACATAACTTACAATAATCAGCAGGGTTATGGTAGCTTGGACAGTGGAGCCCCATCGACGACAAAAATGGCACGAGACCCGTGACCTTCCCTTGATAGATACACTGCCCATCAGTCAAAGTGTATAAAAAGTCAAACATTTCAAATAATCGGGCAGACGGTTGATGGATAGTACAGATTATCGTCCTGCCGCCTCTAGCCAAAGATTTTAATAATGATATGCATTGGAAACACGAGGAACTATCCAATCCAGAAGTTGGTTCATCAAAGAACATTACCGGTGGATTGTTAACTAGCTCCAAGGCTATTGATAGTCTTTTTTTCTGTCCTCCTGATAGATTTATGGTCCTAGTATCACCGGCCTCGATAAGACCGAGCATTTCTAATATTTCATCGATGACTATCTTCTTTGTTGTAGCTGTCATGTCCTTCCCTAGTTTCAGGTTAGCTGATACATACATCGCCTCCCGGACCGTCAAATGTGGTAGAAGGCAGTCATCCTGCATTATATAACAGGATAGTTTTCTGAATCTTCTCAAATTTCTTTCTTTTCCGTTTATCAGGATTGATCCGCTGACGTTTGATGTTCTGAAAGGATTCAAAAATTGAAATAGCCTTTAATATATTCAAGTTAACCTGGCGTTCAGCCAATTATAGTTTTATTTCCGTTTATATTTTAAACGATATAGTGTGTGATATTTTTACACGAAAAATTGCAGAAGCAATACCTAATCACTGTCAGCTAGCCCCACATACCCATTTTTATGACCTAATTAAAAGCTTCAATAATCTAGGTATCTAGAATCTAGATTTTAGGACCACAAAAATAAATAATGAATATTTGTAAGCATTTCAGTGACTAATGAAGTGATTTGGATCGGCGACTGAAAGAACTGTATAAAGCAGATTATTTCGGACCTCTAACTGAATAGCCACAAACTATAATTCTATTTCTGTCTTCGGGTCATGGCTGCAGACTCAAATGTAGTTTGTGTCGAGACCAAAATGAAAACTTATTTTCGTACGCTAGACATATTTTAGAATATTTTGAGATTATGTGATTTAACATCAACATAAATTATATTATTATTATTTGAAATAATAACGGATGTGGATGAGATGAAAATAAACAAAGTAAACGAACAACAATATCAATAATATTCGAAAAAAAATATTATAAAAGAATATTTATGTTTAAGCCTATAAAAAAAAAAAAGTGTGTGTGTCCGCTCCGACGCACGACTGGAGTTTACTGGATATAAATATAAATTTGTGTCAGTTGAATACAGTAAAATATGGAAGTTACGTATTCTAGTGAGAATGATCCGGGAGTTGCGGAACACGTGGATGCGGTAATTAAGTAAGTCTATATAATTCACTTTTACAATTAATATATAAGTTGTCCATTCACTGATAGAAGGAATTGTTTATATTTAATAAGCTTTATTAATAAATGATTTGTAGCGGGTTATATTCGGGTATCAACCCACTAACAGTTGATACGTTCAGGAATCGAACCCGAACGGCGTCCGGCCACAAGCAAAACGATGTCGGTAAATTAAACGAAACAATACGAGAAATAGTTCTATATTACGACAACACGATACACTACAGATTATTAACAAATTAACGAGACACAAAACAAACGACTAACAAATATATGAAAATACAATAATGAGAGAAACGCGCGATCAGTACGAGGCTTTGTGGCGGACTGCCGGCGCAGCAGCCCGGCGTCACCTGCGATAACGCATTTCGTGTGACATGCGCAATCAGGCGCATAACGCATTTCGTGTGACATGCTAGTACGATTTTGGTCCCCATAATTTTCATACCCCGGGCCTATATATGTAAATCGATTCTAAAGGAGTAAACTCCAATAAATTAATTACTTAGTAAACTCCAGGTGTTGTACTATCCAATTTATAGTGCTAATAATTAAAATTTAGTGGCAAATAACATAACACTGCTAATCACTATACACTTTAATCTATTTTGATAACATAAAACCCACTTACTTATATCCGGCTAGAATGTTCATGAGTGTGCTTTTCCCTGCCCCCGAAGGTCCCATAATGGCTGTCAGCTCCCCAGATCGAAAGGTACCATTTATGCATTTAAGCAAGGACTTGTAACCTCTCTTCCTGCCCTCGCTGACTGAATAGGATAAATCAGAGAATTCTATGTCTACTGGAGGTCTTTTTGGCAGGTGTGTGAGAGTCGCCATTGGTTTTTTCTGATCTCCATAGCCATTTGGGATCTTGGGAACGAGAGTTGTGATTCCTGCTGCACCCGCAGCGCCATTGCATAGGTTCATTTGGGAGCCACTAAAACAATTCAGATATGGAATAATTAAATATATTATATGTAGAGCTTAAACTGGTTGCCATACATTTTGGCCTTAGTAAAAATGTGGCAAAACATTGCTTAATGTTGTCCTATATCCATTTATCAAATCCTATTCTAAAATGCAAAAGCTGGTAGAATCATAAAAAAAGTTAACCTTGTCTTTGTAGCTGTGATCGGTATAATCATAGAAAATAAACTTTAAATACACTACACATACATATTTCTATTATAGCTTTAACACTTTACTTTTAATTATTCCTTCGTGTTCCCAATTGCCTTATCTTTAGAATATAAAAACTTGAAATATGCATTATAGGTACATATAGATTTTTTTACCAAATAAATATTAGTTGGCTCAATATTGTAGTAAGGGCACTAAGGTTTGAAAACTCAAAAACGCTTTATCTGATGAAGTAGATAAGTCTAAATTCCAAATTTAAACAATCAGTTCACAAAAACCTCTACTAATACGTAATGCAGCAGTATTAGATTATACGACCAACAATTATTTTGTATCCCTAACTAAATGTCGACATTAGCTTAACAACTCGAAAATAACTGGAGTATTCGTGAAGACAGTGCTCTTCCAATGCCGACTAAGGCTATTTTCGGATAGAACATTAACAATTTATCCTCGCCCACGCTACACCTGGTTGTTGGCTTCAGGTTTCTTACGTCACCAATGGATGACGTCACAAGAGAAAGTTATCACGACTTAGAAGGATAAAAAATCGAGAAATTATGTAAAGTGCAAAAGCTACAGTAACCTACTGAAGCCTATAAGAATTTATACTAATATCCTGCTGACCTAGCAAGGGTTCGAAAGTACTTATTTTAAAGTTTCAGGAATTGGATAGATATTTGCGCAAAATTTAAATATTTAATCATGTTTTAGTAATTTTTCTCTGCATCTTCATCTGTTTGGATGGGTAAATTTGACAATATTCGGGGATAATGGCCTACATAATCTTATGGTCTGGATAATCATGGTTAGAATTTTTGATGGGAAATTGATTCTACAATAGCCTCCAAGAAACATTTAATAATGATAGACAGCATCCTAACACCCTACGGGTAGTTTTCAGTCCACAAGTGATCATGGCGCTTGCAATAGTAAAAGGTAAATATCGTGGTAGAAGCCTGTTATATAATAATTTTGTTTATAATGTAATTAAATTTTATTCAAAATCCACGCCAGATTTCTCTCAGACAAACAGAATTTATTTTACATTAGCTGACCCGGCAGACTTCGTAGTGCCTCAATCGACAAATAAAAGACCTAAACTTTTGTATAAAATAAACATAAAACAACCAAAAGGAATCCGTCCGACGGGGGGGGGACACATCAAAGGAAAAACAAAATTGTTTTTTTTATATAATTCCGAGCATTTTCATATTTTTTCACCTTTTAAGCCTTCTCTGGACTTCCACGAATAATTCAAGACCAAAATTAGCCAAATCGGTCCAGCCGTTCTCGAGTTTTAGTGAGACTAACGAACAGCAATTCATTTTTATATATATAGATTAGCATATATGTATAAACTATTTGTAACGAGATCGATCCACATTATTATCACACTCCATGTAATCTATCAGGCCATAAACATTTTTTTAAACCACCAATTACATCAAAATTCGTTGCATATTCTAACAAAAATCTACGTCGCATCACCTATTCAGAACGACAGAGCGTTGGCACAGAGCCAAACTGAAGTTACAGCGCACTGCTAAATTGATCCAAGACTGACAGCACACGAGACTAGCCTTTGTCTAACTTTGTTTTAAGGCTCATTTTAGTGTGCACCCTGAAACAGGTTTTCATGGAAAAATAACAGTTCTTGTTCGCATTTCTTTATGAATTGCTACGTATTGTGTTGGTAGCTTTAATGAAAAAATTCTCGTTGAGAAATTAAGTTTATGTGAATGTTTTTTTAGGACCTCAATAGCATAATAACATGTTTAATTAGTTATGTAAAACTTTATACTGTCACTACATAGGATCCACTACATGGGGAGTAGTTGATGATGACCATGAAAGCTAGCAATGTCGGAGACATAACTAAGCTGCTTCTTACTCAATCCTCTAATAATAGTCATTCAAAGCATTACACACTTGCGGACCATTACCAACTTTTTTCTCTAATACACTTTTTTTTTGTTTTTTGTTTTATTGCTTAGATGTATGGACGAGCTCACAGCCCACCTGATGTTAAGTGGTTACTGAAGCCCATAGACATCTACAACGTAAATGCGCCACCCACCTTGAGATATAAGTTCTAAGGTCTCAGTATAGTTACAACGGCTGTCCCACCCTTCAAACCGAAACGCATTACTGCTTCACGTAGTGACGAGCACGTATTTCATCAGAAAAATTGGTACCCGCCTCGGAATCCGAACACCGGTGCATCGCTCAACACAAATGCACCCGACTTCTTATCCTTCAGGCCACGACGACTATTAACACATATAAAAATATATAGATAAAAGACACAACAGAAACTGAATAACGTGAAAAGAGTTCAATAAGGTTATACGAGTAGAAGAAGAGGGAGCTTAACCACAGAAGCTCACAAAAAAAGTTTCCTAATGAAACTTTTATCCAATTTTTCGAACACGAATTTGAAGAAGTTTTTTTAAACACAATGGAATATTCTCGTAAGTTATGAATAATTACGGGCTTAAACGTAGAAAGTTCCACAATCGCTCGATAGCCCACGGGCCGAATGTGCTTGAATCTGATACACACCCCAGCATTTAAGAACTATTTTCACTTTCATTTTAAGTCATGGCCTAAAGGATAAGACGTCCGGTGTATTCATGTCGAGCGATGCACCGGTGTTTGAATCCCGCAGGCGAGTACCAAATTTTCTAATGAAATACGTACTTACGAAAAACATTACACACACTAAGATGTATTTGACACACACACACTTAAATATATTCTTTGTTTACTGTCAAACTTTTTTTATTGCTTAAAGTCTGTGGTCAAATTGAGAATAGATTAATATTATTTATCTTTAATATTAATATATTATTTGTCTATAGTGTAGTCTTGGCGAAATCTGTGATTATAAGTTTAATAGTCTTTGACAACAAAACCATAATAATGTTCAAACTTATAATTTCAATTATTTGAAGTCGAATTTCGACTACTGCGGGACCACTAGTATTCTCAACTTTACTTAACGGCCGTCTGGTGTAGTGGTAAGTGACATGGTCACTACACAGGGGGCTTGCGGGTTCGAATCCCGCCAAGAGAAGATATTTATATGATAAATATAAAAAAATGTCTTTTCCAGGGTTATGGATGTATATTAAATATATTATGTATGTGTATAATAAAAATCTTAAATTTATTTCCGTTATCTGGTACCTGTAACACAAGTTCTTTACGAACTTATCACGGGACCAGTTAACGTGGCGTGATTGTTAGTAAATATTTATTTATATATTTATTCTTAGAAATCGGTGTCGGACGAATATAAACATAACAATGCGAAATAAACAATCTCTTTAAGATACCTAACCGCCGAGGTACCTTAAATTTGATCTATGGCTTTACTGAAAAACATCTCAAATTATCCCAAGTGGAAAACTTTCATGATTCATTAGAATTATTAGATGATTTATAGATTCATAATAATAATTAAATAATTCACAATAATATTTCATTGGTAGATTCGTAAGATTCTATGAATTTGGAGACGAAAAGTATGGAACCAAACAAGTTTCCAAATAACGTGGATACGAGTCGGAGTGACAGTTTCCCCACCCTATATACCAGAAATAAATAAATAAGTACAATATTCAATTTTATACACCAATCGCATTTTTTTTTTATTGCTAGATGAGTGCACGAGCTCACAGCCCACCTGGTGTTAAGTGGTTACTGGAACCCATAGACATTTACGACGTAAATGCGCCACCCACCTTGAGATATAAGTTCTAAGGTCTCAAGTATAGTTACAACGGCTGCCCCACCCTTCAAACCGAAACGCATTACTGCTTCACGGCAGAAATAGGCAGGTTGGTGGTACCCACCCGCGCGGACTCACAAGAGGTCCTACCACCAGTACATACATATAAGTATACATTAAGTTTGTTTGTGTGCCCTCGATCGCGTGCCGAAGGACATTTTCATGTAACGAGCACCATTGAATTATGTTAGTTTGTTTTGGGGATTGTTCCTTCATGTATAACAATGGCCAGCTTAGGTGCGTGAACGGATTTTTTCTAAGAACACAAACCTATTAAGTATGAAATATTATGGTTGAATTTCTTCTAAGAATACCAAATAGTTGGAGGTGTTTTAGCTGACCCGGCAGACTTCGTAGTGCCTCAATCGATAAATAAAAGACCTCTAAACTTTTATATAAAATAAACTATAAACAAACAAAAGGAACCCGTCCGACGGGGGACACATCAAAGGAAAAACAAAATTGTTATTTTTATTTAATTCCGAGCATTTTCATAATATATATCTAAACCTTTTAAACCTTCTCTGGACTTCTACAAATAATTCAACACCAAAATTAGCCAAATCGGTCCAGCCGTTCTCGAGTTTTAGCGAGACTAACGAACAGCAATTCATTTTTATATATATATATATAGATAGATAGATATCCAACGATTCGCCCTTTGTGGCAGGTAATGTATCTGTTTTTACGTGGGTCAAAATCATTTTTAGTGTAGAATTTCGTGCTTGTTTCAATCATGTTCTATGCATACCTAATCATGCGTATCTAGTGCTCAGTATATTCTCTGACATTTGTTTCTTTAATATAATATACATTTTTTTGCCCTTGTGGGCGGACGAGCATACGGCCCATCTGATGATGAGTGGTTACCGTCGCCCAAGGACTTCAGCAATGCCAGAGGCAGAGCCAAGCCGCTGCCTACCATTATGTTAGTATATTTTGGCTATTGTAGCACATTAGTGGGAACTGGAACCTCATGCCTCAAGGTCTGAAGTCTGAAGGCTGAAGTCATCATTGGCCCCTTCAAATTCATTACAGTAAAATATACGCATAGACTTTTAAAAATGTAGATACTGTTTGAATTATAACATAACTGTATCAATATTTATTTGTGTTTTCTTCAAAAAATGCTGATTCTAATATTGTATTTGCATCACGCCTTCTTTTGTTCTAATTGAGGGACAAGTTTTCACTCCATCCGATATTAAGTGGCTACAGGAGCACATGAGCATCGGATTTTATTGTGAATGCTTCTGACTGTAGCACTAGCCACCAGTGCAGGAATAAACCCACCAACCAGTACGGATAATATCCAAAGACCTCAAGAAGTATAAAGTAATTGTTGCTGATACTCACCCAAGTACTTGGCCATTATTGAGCTGCTCCGTGAAGGTTTTGCCCTGGGAGAACGTGACTTTATCATTGAGCTCGCCTCTGCTCCCACGCCCCATCAGCGGTAAGTGTATCTGGGTGCCTTTCGATTCCATTTTCAGGCCGGGCGTCATCGCGCAATTACCATCATGTGTCCTGATGCCCTGGAAAGAGGAAATTCGATGTCAGATACATTTTTAATACATTTATACTGCATAACGGATTTGGTGGTGGGACCTCTTGTGAGTCCGCGCGGGTAGGTACCACCGCCCTGCCTATTTCTGCCGTGAAGCACTAATGCGTTAAGGTTTGAAGGGCGGGGCAGCCGTTGTAACTATACTGAGATCTTAGAACTTATATCTCAAGGTGGGTGGCGCATTACGTTGTAGATGTCTATGGGCTCCGGTAACCACTTAACACCACGTGGGCTGTGAGCTCGTCCACCCATCTAAGCAATAAAAAAAAATTATCACTCATGATTAGTGAAGTTCTTACGTGTAGCTTCTATTTGCGTACGCTTAAGAACAAGATAGGATACCATAGCCATATTAAAGCGCATGAGAGGCGCGGACATTAGCTTTTAAGTTATTGAACATAAAATTTTGGTCGCCGTGCCCGAAGCCAGCTTGGAACCATTATGATGATGATTAATGCAGTAGTTGATACTGGTCTCTATATATGGCAAAGTACAGTACGGGCTGATAATACTTTTTATTTTTATTTATTGCTTAAATGGGTGGACGAGCTCACAGCCAACCTGATGTTAAGTGGTTACTGGAGCCCATAGACATCTACGACACAAATGCGCCACCCACCTTGAGATATAAGTCCTAAGGTCTCAAGTATAGTTACAACGGCTGCCCCACCCTTCAAACCGAAACGCATTACTGCTTCATGGCAGAAATATGCAGGGTGGTGATACCTACTCGCGCGGACTCACAAGAAGTCCTACCACCAGCTTATTCCCGCTACGAAGCCATCTCGTGCTGTGCCAAGTATTAGATAGCCGTTAATTATAGCAAGGTGACTTTTGGCTACAGGTGGACAAACAAGAGCATGATCCACCCGGTGTTAAGTGATCAAGCCCATACATATCACGACGTCAACGTTCGACCTTGAGACGGACTTCCAAGTCTCATGTGTAGATCTGAGCGGCTCTACTAACTCCAAAAATTTATTTAATACTAGCTGACCGGGCAGACTTCGTAGTGCCTCAATCGACAAATAAAAGACCTAAACTTTTGCATAAAATAAACTTAAAACAAACAAAAGGAATCCTTTCGACGGAGGACAAATCAAAGTGAAAACAAAATTGTTATTTTTATTTAATTCCAAGCATTTTCGTATTTATCTACCTTTTAAATTTTAAACCTTCTCTGGGCTTCCACAAATAATTCAAGACCAAAATTAGCCTAATCGGTCCAGCCGTTCTCGAGTTTAAGCAAGACTAACGAACAGCAATTCATTTATATATATATATAGATAGATAGATAATCCAATTATACTGTAATACCATACACTCGAAAGAATAATTTATAGTTTCCTATAAAAATTTGGAACCGCAATTTTTTGGTCAACGATAAACCAAATGTCGGTCGAACACGAAAATAAACACAATCGTAACTGACCTAATTGTCTGTTGTTTATAATGATAAAGTATAATTACGATGTCAGATATACATATTTGAAATGGAGCAATTGGATGATGATTGGACTGGAGAGGTTACTTGCGAAACACTCTTACTCGTGGTAGGACCTCTTGTGAGTCCGCGCGGGTAGATACCACCGCCCTGCCTATTTCTGCCGTGAAGCAGTAATGCGTTTGAAGGGTAGGGCAGCCGTTGTAACTATACTGAGATCTTAGAACTTATATCTCAAGGTGGGTGACGCATTTACGTTGTAGATGTCCATGGGCTCCAGTAACCACTTAATACCAGGTGGGCTGTGAGCTGGTCCACGCATCTGAGCAATAAAATAAAAAAAGAATTGCGAATTCGCACCGCTTGTTACCACAATCATGTCTATACTTAAAGCAGATTTTATGAATTTATCTTGCTTAGATGGTCACGTTTGACTAGTCACTAGTGGTCACAACATAGCTAACGCTCAATTTGATTTAGGATGAAAATCTTGTTTGCTTAATATGACCCTTCTAGACTTCAGAGCAAGCCGCGTGGATTTTTGGCGGTAGAAATGGTGAAATCCACACGCAAGGCCTGTATGAACATAATTAGATGATCAAGAAAATTATGCGGAGTCTTTCTCTGTGTGGTCATACTGAAAGACCCGTATATTTGGGGAAGCGAGGATCAAAAGAACAACTGGAGAAGGCTTTTGATCTCACGATACGAACTGATCTCACGATACGAGCTACCCCCAATGAAATGTGTGCCATAGAAGAGCATACTGGTGTGTGCGTGTGTGTGTGCGTGTGTGTGTGTGTGTGTGTGTGTGAGTGTGAGTGTGAGTGTGTGTGAGTGTGTGTGAGTGTGTGTGAGTGTGTGTGAGTGTGTGTGTGTGTGTGTGAGTGTGTGAGTGTGTGTGTGTGTGTGAGTGTGAGTGTGTGTGTGGTGAGTGCGTGTATGTAGCAACAACTCAATGACCTATAATGCAGCATGACCTCTAACTAAGAACAAGGAATATGATATGAATTATACAAACATTCCTTGTAAAGCCACGTTTTTGTGTATCATGCATATAAATGAGGTGCTTGTCTGATTCGCGGACTTCGCTTATCGGTCGTGGTTTTACTGGTAATATGATTATAAGATGAGTGTTGTCTTATCACAATTCGTAGACAGTGGGGTTAGGACTGAGGGTGACGTAGATCATACTAGTTATTAGGGCCGTATAACTGTTGGCGATTTCATCTCACGTCTTCAGGAAATCTGTGGCGTTGACAAGATGTCTATGAGCTCTGGTAACTACACATTTTAGTTGTGTGCTTTCCAGATACGCTTGCGAATGTCAACGAAACCCAAAAATCCAAGGTTTCGAATCTCTGCAGTTTCTGTAGTCAATGAAGGTTTAAAATCTTTTTGCAGTGTTTATTTCATTTACTCGAAATATGTAAACTTTATTAAATTACTCATCTATATATATAAACATGAATTGCTTTTCGTTAGTCTCGCTAAAACTCGAGAACGGCTGAACCGATTTGGCTAATTTTGGTCTTGAATTATTCGTGGAAGTCCAGAAAAGGTTTAAAAGGTGAAAAAATATGAAAACGCTCGGAATTATATAAAAACAAACAATTTTGTTTTTCCTTTGATGTGTCCCCCAAAAGTTTGGGTCTTTTATTTATCGATTGAGGCAGTACGAAGTCTGCCGGGTCAGCTAGTTGAAAGATAAAAATAGATGGGAATTTAAAAAAAATGCATTTTGAGGGCGGACTCGTTAACAGTCCATCGAGTATTAAGTGGTTCTCGGATCACATAGACAATACTATTCAGGGTACCAATTGAAATAAGAGATCAATATCTTACCTAAATTGGCATTACGACAATTACGAAATAATTTTTTATTGCATAGACTAATGAACGAATTCACGGCCTTTAGTAATTGGTTACGGACCCTATAGAAATCACTTTGTAAATGCCGCAACCTATCTTTAAGCAAATCAAGGCTTAGTAGGAGTGGGTAATATCGGTTTTGCCGCGTATCGAATCGTATCTATATATCGAGGATCAATATCGGATATTGAATCTATATATTTTCTGAATCTATATATTGATGGATGCTAGTAGATTTTCTCGATTCATGATATTTGAGATTTGAAACGATACGCTGATATAATATCATAGTAGATATAGATTTAAGTCAACGTTATACGGTTGGTTTTCTGATATCAATTTATAATATGATCTTAAAGTAATAAAAAGAACATGAAAATAAAAATATCAAAAAAACTTTCCTTCATGCTTTTACCAGGCTTAGGACTGGCTACATTATTTTCAGTTTTTAGTATTTTGTGTCTTAATTTAAAATTACAAAATATACCAAAAGAGTGTAGATTTCAAAAGTTTAATACAAACACAAGAAATAAACTCAATTATTTGGATTCAACTAAAAATAGAAAAATGTGTACTTTAAAAATCAAACACAAAAAACTTTTAAGTATTTATAAACACTTGTCCAAAAATTCTAGTTCAAGGTCAAAGCGCGTGAAATTAAATTCAACGATGCAAATAGGCTATACTGCATTCAAGTTAGGGTCGAAAGTTGAAACTTCTTTCCTTAATTGTATCCTGCTGATACGCTAAGAATAATCTACAGACATATGGACTTAAATATAAGGTTTACAATTGTATGGATAATGCCTGTTTCTGTTTCATTCATCACATGATATCCCTATCGTGCGCTCACTCACTCTGGCCGATTCGATACGAACCAAACGAATATCGCTGATATTCACGAATCGGTACGATATGCCGATGCGCATCACATCGAGCAATATCGTGTATCGGCTGATATCGCAATATAGATTTCGATTCACGAATCGGTACGATATGGCGATGCGCATCACATCGAGCAATATCGTGTATCGGCTGATATCGATATATAGATTTCGTGCGAGGCGATATCGGATTCAACGATATTGGTGCGATATATAGATATTGAATCTATATACGATTTATATCACCCACTCCTAAGGCTTAGTAAATCGGGTGCCAATCGGATCACGTGACTGCTTCGCTGCAAAATGGTGGAATTTACCCGGACGGGGTTACCTTATTACGAATGCTTATTCTTATTACTCTATCCCTATTACGAATATTAACGCAAATTAGAATTTTTGCAGGTTACACTTTGATTATACATTTTTGTAATAGCAGAGGTTATTTATGCATTCAAATCCCATAAACAGGGCCGACTTTTTAAAATCAAAATAATAGTAATAATGCTTTAATAAACATAGCCCCTAATGTCGGTTCGTAATAAAAACAACTTATCGTTTGTTCAGGATGTGATTTGAGATTCAGGCGTCAATGTGATAACAAAATAATCCTACCGCATTACAATTCGATACTAAATGTACCTATTTACGATTTAATCATCCATTACATTTAATTGTGCGTAAACTGAAAAATGTCTTGTGCGTTATGACGCTAAACCGAATGCCGATTTCTTAATATCATACGCAAAAGATTTTGAGGGTAATTGA